AATCCATCAACTTGATATAAGTTGAATGAATGAACTTGGGGGTTGGCGGGGCTTTCAGATAAGGCCCCATGGGAAGTGGGGGTGCAGAGAAGGACCCAGGCTCCGCCCCCAGGCTCTGGGAACCAGAACGGAGGAAGGCAATCGGCTCTGCCAGAAAGCTTGCGGGACACGCAGAGGATGTGCCGTCTCCAGGGACAACATGGGGACAGTCGGCCCAGCCAGTGGCCCCCAGGGCCCTGGACTCTTAGCAGACTGTCACAGCAACCACACAGTTTTCCCTGGAAGGAATCCCACAGGGCCCGGTGGAGAAACTGAGACCCAGGAAGGAAGAGGTTGTCCATATTCTCAGCTAGGGAGATGCGAGCTGGGCTGGAACCCACGTGTCCCCCATGCTCAGTGACTTCACCAATGCTTTTCCCTGGCAGCAGGGATTCAAAGAAGCACTTGCAAAAGCCCCAGCCCCCACATTACCTTCCTTCCTGCCTGGCCTGGCTGCAGTCATTTGGAACAGGACTTGGCCATTGGGAGACTCTTGCTATGTCTGAGGTGGGCCAGGCTGACAGGGATAGCTTCCTTGGCTCCCCTTGACCCCTGGCTGGGACCCTCTGCACTTGTCGGTTTGAGATATGGATTTAGAGATTTAATGCCTGGAAAGGCATCCTTGGGTCTGACTATCAGGCAATATGGCCAGGGGCCAAGTAGCCCACCTGACCCTTACAGGTGGATCTCCCTGCATTCTGGCCTGTCCCCAGGGCCAAGGAGCCCACCTGACCCTTACAGGTGGATCTCCCTGTATCCTGGCCTGTGCCCAGGGGCCAAGCAGCCTACCTGACCCTTACAGGTGGATCTCCCTGCATTCTGGCCTGTCCCCAGGGCCAAGGAGCCCACCTGACCCTTACAGGTAGATCTCCCTGTATCCTGGCCTGTTCCCAGGGCCAAGGAGCCCACCTGACCCTTACAGGTGGATTTCCCTGCATCCTGGCCTGTCCTCAGGGGCCAGGCAGCCCACCTGACCCTTACAGATTGATCTCCCTATATCCTGGCCTGTCCTTAGGGCCAAGCAGCCCACCTGACCCTCACAGGTGGATGTCCCTGTATCCTGGCCTGTCTCCAGGTATTAAACTGCCCAGCACTTTGTCCTGTTCTCTGCTTACCTCCGGAAGGTCAGCTGGGCCTGGGGTTCTCTTACCCACAGACTGGGGTCTTACCTGACCCAGCTGTGCCCCCCTGAGCCACAGCCTGGGGAGTCAGACGCTTCTAGAGTGTGCTAGATGGCCCCTGTTAGCACAGGCTTCAGCAGGGCATCTAATAGCTCAGGAAGAAGGAAAAACAATGGCTCGAACTTGGCATTCCTTCGTTCTTACGTGTTTAGACTTTAGCCAAGTCAGCCCGCAGTGGTGGGGCGGGGGGCCCACATAGGGTGGGGCGGTTTCCATCTACAAGCTATAAACGGGAAGGTTTTATATCTGGGGCTTAAGATGTCCTGCAAACTGATACCCGAGGAGCCCAGATGAGATAGCTTTGTGGAAGGTTCTGGAATCAGGGCTTCCATACATGGTGGTGCCTGGTT